AAGGCAACTTCAGTGGAACTTTAGTGATCCTATGGAAGATGAAGTGCATGTTGTTTTTCTATGTGCTGCTCTAGGGAAAAGATTTTCCTGTGGTTTCCAGCCCTATCCTGAGTTTGAGTGGAACAACTTTAACCAGGACAAGAAGACTGACAATAGGGGCAGTTGCTGTGTGCACCAACCTGTTGCCTGTGTAGCTGATGTATTTTCAGTAGGGTCCCCTTTAGGTGTAGGTCCTGACCCTCTTCCCTATGGTCCTAGCTTCAGGCATAACCCCCATCTGCATCTGACGTGACTCCAATGTCTTGGTTTCCATGCTCATCCCTTGCAGCCTGTGACGCTGAAAGGCATTAATCTTGAGTTGTGCTTCTCTCCTTTCCACTTTGTATTTCACAGAAATACACACCACCTGATCTCATCTGGTTGAACTAAAAACGTTTTGTCCCCAGCTCTCCCTTATTCCTAGCCATGTGGAAATGGAAAGCAAAGAGCACCAGTGCAGAAGGACTTCTTTTAAACTGTGCAAGGTGCTCACTCAGTCATTTGATTTCTTTCTTTGAGCATTTGGAGCTCACTGCAGCCTCCAGAGAGGCTCTCTACTTTCTATGGGCAGCTAGTCCTGTTTTCATATGTTTTAAGTAGTTTCTGTTGCATAGTGCTGGTGAGGATGAGAGGGGACAGGAAAAATTTTGACGCAAAGGACTGCCATGCAGCCTGTGCTAAGAAGTGTTGAGAAGATTATTTTTCTGTTTGCTGCATACCAGCTACCCAAGGTGCTTTGAAGAAGTGAGTAGTCAAACTGATCCTCAGCTGAAAGTCTAAGTTGTATGTTGCTGGTTTTCCATCAAGGATTCTGGTTTGACCTAACATTGCAGTGTCCTGAGGGATTAATGATTTCTGGGCAAGTAACATACAGACAGATAGCAGACCTGGTGGAATGGTATTAATTTGGAAAGATAAAATAGATACCCTGAGACTTCTTTAACGTCAGCATCCTTATTCTCTTCTATGGGGGAGTTGCACATTTGGATCTTTCCTTCTTGTAGTGCAGTCATTTTTTCTTCTTCACAGAAGACCATCCTTTCTGTAAGTGGAGATTTCATGCCCCTAGAAATGTCTTCCTACAGGTTGCACACCCACTGAAGTAAATTAGAGCGTTCACACCACTTAATTTTGAATTGTGTTTCACCAGATTTGAGTCTTCTGGAAGCAGATCCACTGTATTTAAGAATGATCCACTAGTCCTTTTATTACACACAGTTTCAAGGCCCTGTGCAAGGGTAATGCATCCTTTCAGACTTCTGAGAAGCAGGGTCAGTGTCAGAGGTTAAATAACTTGTTCAAAACTTGGGAGTGAGGGAGTGGCAGAGTGAGGATTAGAACTCAAGTGATCCCATTGTTCTTGGTCTGTTAGATGGTGTGGCAGATCCCTTCTCTGGAGAGAAACCTCAAGAAGAAATGGGTAGTCCTCTGTGATTCCACTTTCCCCAAACAGCCGTGTCTGTGGGAGTGAGAGCTCCTAGGATCCCAGGATCCCAGCTTCAGTCCCAGCTGCAGATGAGGCCAGATGCTGATTCTTTTTGATCTTAGAGGTCTCAGAAGGTGGGACCTTTTGTTCAGAAAGAAGTTTTCTGGTTGGACCTATCATCTGCCTGCCAGGGTTGGACTTATCCACCTCCCTCACACAGAGTAGTGTGCTGCATTTGCAGGGAGATTAATAAATACGTGAAGGTGAAGGGGCAAAAAAAGGAAGTTGAAACGTTTTGGGCTTTGGGCTGAGATTCAGAGAAGGCCGAGGGAGGTATGGGAGGACTTGGATTAGCATGATAGCTTAACAGCTTCTGTAGGAGGTTTGGGTGAAATCGCTCTACTTGTGATGGAAGAGGTGCCCTTGGTGCCTATTGGAGTTGGCTGCGTGGGTGCTGGGGATTCTCCAAGCAGACCCACTCTTGGTTCAGAAGATTCTGGCTGCTTGGGTCTGATTTTTGCAGTAGCCTGATCCATGTTGTGTTTTCCCATGGCACTTACCCCCACAGTGTCTAACAGAACTGCAGCAGGAGAAAAGGGAAAGCTTTTTAGGTGGAAGGGAAAGGAGTAAAGCTTGGTCTCTCCAGAGTGTTTACCTAGAGTGTTTGTATTTCGTATCAAAGGGAAGGTGGGGAGTAGAAAAAGCCTGACCCTTGGCTGGCATCTTGCTCGAAACCCTACCTTCCTCCCTGCTTAACACTCATGTAAGGGAAACAGTTACGCCAGAGCTCAGCTATTCGGGATCCCTCTCTCCCTTGGCTAATTGATGAGATAAGAGGTTGTTAAAGAATGTATATCAGGAAAGATGTGCCGAGCAGCTTTAAAAGGAAGAGTAAGAGGGTGGGGGATGGTTGGGTGGTTTGGCAGCTCTCTGCAACAGAGGGCCAGAAACACCTGAAGAAATGGAGTGGGAAATGTGAAGGGTTTGGACAGATGGAGGCTTCAAATGGAGCTGCCATCGCAGGGATAGGGGAGAGTCAACTGAATGCAAAGGGCCAAGGCCCCAGCACATATATGTTAGCTAGCTCTCTTGACTGCAATGGAATTAGGCAACTTTACAGCAGCTGAGGATCTGGCCATTTAAATCCTTGTGCAGAGGGTCAGAGGGTAACAAACTCCTGAGTGTGTGTTTGGAGAGTGGCTGTGCTATGCCCATAAGGGCTGCCGATACTGTGGTAGAGCTGCCTGAAGGCTTACAGGAGCCTCTGAGCTGCGAGTGTGAATGAGTGAGTGGGTGCTGGTGTTTATCAGCCAAGGAGCGAATATGTTTGTATTAGCGAATGCATTTGTCTGGAGGAGTGTGTGTGTGTACTGAAATAGTGCTCTTTTCTGGTGCTTTCTTTTATGGATCCTGTCTCACTTTCCAGACACTGTTGGTGACTGTGGTCTCACAGCCCTCCCAGGAGGTAAGTCGGAACTGTTGCCCCCATTTTACAGTGGTGCAGAGAAGGGAAGAGTCACAGAGCAGAAAACTGAATCCTGAGTTCCAGACTCCTGTGCTTGTGCCTTTGTCTAAGCATGGAGTGATGTTTCCTGTCATGGGCTGGTGGGTATTGGTGAGGTGCTGGGAATATGAATATATTAGTGTAGTGGTTTTCAACCTTTTTTGTACCAGGACCTATTTGTAAACATCAGTGGCCATTCCTGACTCAGTGGCCCTCATCCCCAACCCACTGACCCCTGCCTCCAGCCCCACAGTGTGTGGGGCAGTGTGGGGGGCCCAAGCAGGTCCTTGCAGGCTGCCAGCCTGGAAGGGAAAAGCCACAGTTTCCCAATTTTTTCTTCTTTAAAGGATAATCCATTTTAAAAGTTTGTTGATCCATTTTTTGTTTGTGACCCTTTCATATATTCTTGTGATCCATGGGATGAGAAACACTGTATTAGTGCATGCATGTGAGAATTTGGCAATGAGTAGGGGATCTGCAGGGGTGGGGTTGGTATTAGCAAGAGTATGTCTGTGAATGTGTCAGTAAACCCATAAGCCTTAGCTCAGAGGATGAGGTAAATGAGTAGCTTACCATTGTTGGTCTTTGTATATAAGGGGCCAAAAGCTGTCCTTAGCTGCAGCTAGTAGGTTCCACTGTGGAAGCTGGGTCATTGTGGATCCATGCCAGCTAATGATTTGCTGCATTGTTTTTCATGACCCTGTAAGGTCACTTAAGAGGAGGTGTAG